GCCCTTCTATTTTTTTCCTTCATTTCTCATATGCTCTTTCCTACTTGCTCTGGCTTCATTAAGGCTGTCCCCAAGCTGCTGTGTTAAAATTGGTGTCAATAGCTGTATAACTTCTGCATAAAGGAGCACTCCTACCAGAAAAACCTTGCAGCTTACAGTGCTGCTTTCCCTTAGGGGTGTATTGGCTTCAAAAGGATCTTAAGATTGCATTTGGATCTAGAGCCTTATTTCCTTCTGGGCAACATGTTCCAGTGCCTTGCCACCTTCACACTCTCACCTGGCTTCCTCTTTGCTGGGATGCATTGCTCCTGAGCTTAGAGAAGGTGAACCTTGAATATTACCAGCTTTCTTGGGCCCCTCTTCTATCCAGGGCTTTATCCCATGGTACGTTACCAAGCAGAACCCTGAAGAGGCCAACGTCTGTTGTAACCTGGGGTAGTGAGTTTGCTGGGTGCTTTCCTCATTGCCCTAAGGATCTTAGCTCCACTATTTCATGGTAACCATTTGTTGATTAGCCAGATTTGACTGGCCCTTTCAAATCCCTTCCCTTCGATCTGCAGGACTGATGTTTGCCTGTAAGCAACACATTCAGAGCTGGCAAGTGCATCATGCCAAATTATTCTCCCCTGGAGCAGGGTCAATTTGATATTCAGATTGGCTTTTCATTTATCCTGGGTCTGCAAAGTGATTTTGCTTTCTTTCAGCTTCAATTTACCTAAACTATTGGTATCTGATTTCTGATGTTGCAGCATTGAACTGTCTAGACTGCTATCCAGGGTGTTTTTCCTCATGTCCACGGAGCCTGTTTTTCCTGTTGTACAACTGCAGTTGCTGTTTGGAAAGATCATAGTGTGCATTAGGTAGATGATGAAATAAAGCCTAATGAATTCTCATGGAGAGAGAAATCATTAAAGCTTGTGATTTGAAAATCATAAATGGCCCGTTTCCTTCAAAATAAGATAATAATGAATAGATGATACATTTCAAAGTGTATTCTAAGTAAAACTGATAATGGTTTCCTTGGAGCTGGAAATTATGTGCCAGGAAAAGGATGCATCTGCCCCAAAAGCAATGGAGATTAACAGAGAATCAGACAACTGAGGTATCCATTTGGGCTTTGCTTCCCCAACCCTTGCTCAACAGTGTTAACACAGTGAAGAGTAAACAGAAAACCCCATAAAAATGGAAGATAACTTATTAAATGTGATGCAGAGGAAATCTATGGCAGGAGAAGGCACTGCTCCATTCCTTCACAGTGTGTTCATCTACTGAAACTAAAATCCTCTAGCAAACCCCAAATGCTGAAGCTACACACCACTCACTTATTCACATTCTCCTTTTTGCAAACAAGCTGACATGATTTTAGGGTCCAAAACCCATTTTCTTTCATATTGCCCTAAAACAACCAAACTTGCAGACTGAATGTACATAGGTGAGGTTGTCATGAAGTAGATGATAATCAGTGACACAGCAATGGTCATAATCTAAACCTGCAAAGTGTCTCCTACCCAGAGGAGACTGGTACCTGAGAAACATCCGACTTGGCTGACCAGCCATGCTCCATCTCTGGTAACCATTAACATTTAAGGTCAGAGCAAGAGCCCTTCAGTTTCATGGCTACAGTCTGTACTGCATGGAAACATAGAATGGTTTGGGTTGGAAGGGACCTTAAAGATCATGTCCTAGTTCCATTTATCCTTCCTACAGGGCAAATAGATCAGCCAGACGAAGAGGCAAAGCTTAAATTGACACCATGGGGACATCAACACTGGTCTCATAATATGTCATGTATGGAAGCAAAAATCAAAGTGTCCTCTTTGTATAAATGATCCAAGAAAAACACTGCAGCCAGGCAGAGAACAACTGATGGCACAGCGGAGCTCTTGCAAAAGGCTATCTATATTCCTGACTCTACCTATGGTCTGCAGTCTGATTTGCTCAGTCCCATCTTTGGTTTAACTGTCCATTTAGTTTGAATTGCATGCGATACTTAAGGAAGCATAGGTGGGACTGACATGAATACAAATGAATTCCTTAGGTCTGGAGTTATGACAATGATATCAGGAAATGAATTCCCAGGGGTTTTAAAAGAGGCGTAAAAAAGGAGTCACTGCTTCCTTTTATCTGAGTTCCTGATATTTTCAGCTTCTAAAGCCATTACCTAAGTTAACTTTCTGCACTAAACTTTTTAATGAGAGAAATAAAGTTATTTTCCTTACAAATAAATACGCATACTCCCCACCATAGCAGCCCTGCTATCGTATTTAAGGCACCTCCCAGGGTAGAGCTATTCCAGATTAGAGAGCACTTTCATTCGAACCAGAGGCTGGATTGCACTTTTCATCTCTGTACGCCACAGAAAGGCTGGGATCCTCTGGAAGCAGTGCTGTGCTGTTAAGTGGATTGACTGCATTCAGCACTGCAGCAATTTCCAGTGACCCCAGAAACTGCAGCCTTGAAAACACTGACCAGGGCCTGGTCTCATTTATCACAAATCATGGGAGCTACTGACTCCTGCTTGCCCCTCCGTCCTCCTCAGGAAAGGGCCATGACAAAGAGGGAGGGAAAGATGGAGCTCCCTGCAGGCGTCGACTCCTTGGAGCAATAACTGTGCTCCTCCTGTAAAGCAATTGCTGTGGGATTTTGAAGACTGAAATCTGCTGTGCTTTACTCTGACAATGAGAAGTGTTTTGCTGCTTTGTTCCCAGCAATTCCACCCAGCTGGGCCTCCGCATTTCCCTCTCATGCCTCACTTTCCCTTCCCTGTCAGCTTTGGGGCTGGGGAGGAGTGATGATGACTTTTCAAGCCCTTTTGCCACCTTGATCACAAAGGTCAAGCCAAGTCAGTGATCTTGGGTAAAGCTTTAGCTCCTTTGAGAAGATGCTCTTTAAAACCAGCATCCCTGGTTCACCCCAACCCACGGCTCCTGTCCCACAGCACTGCAGGCTGTGGTGGAGAGCAGGAGGCAGCCCCCTCATTCACTGGCATACTCAGAAGTCTTGCTGCCAAGCTCACACAGAGCCTCCTCCCACACCTCTGAGATACCCCGGGTGCTTTTGTCAGCAAAGCAGAATACTAGCATGAATAACACCGATAGCGTCAAGGACAGCAAAGAACAATCAGCCCTGCTCTAAATGCTACCAGAATATTTATAACCTGAGTGTTTTGCCCAGGGAGACGCAGCCTAATTTAATCTCCTGCTTCCTGCTTACTTTCCTCTCCCCAAACACATGGTAGTTTTCTGTCTTTACTCTCCAGAGTCTTTTATTTGCAATGTCCTGAACTTGTATCTCTCCTTCCCGGAGCTACAAACTCTCTTCCTACTGCATGAAGCAGCCAAGCTGGTCACCTGTGCTGGCAACACTCACAGCTTCACAGAATCAAGCCTATGACAATGAATAAATCCTCCCAGCTATCTGTGCACACACTTGAACAAGGTTAGTAAAGATGGTTGCACACAACAGGCTACCCAGCCCCAGCTATAGCCTCCTATCTTGGTTTAAGTGTGGCTTCTCTCAGATGACTCCTTCACAGTTATTTTCAGTAGACCAGAAGTGATTGAGCTGGTCCCTTCACCCTCCCTGAGCTCAGGCAGTGCAGTCCTGTGCACTGTCACAGGTATCAAATATAAAGGGATTTAAGGAAATTAACTGGCAGTAGTGAGGCTATGGTTAAGGATGTTCAGTAAATTCACAACCAGATTTGAAGTGGTGTGGAAGTCCTGGCAGGAGCAGGCACGGGCATGCAGGAGTTTCACAGCTCCTACCACACTTGCTTAACTTGCCCAAGTTACCACAAGGGTAACCTGTGACTACCCTTGAGGGAGGGAAGGAGCACAAGGCTGATCGCTCACCCCTGCCTATGGCACCTTGCTCACTCTGCAAGAAGGATACCCCCAGAATGGCCCACGTCCCTCTCATACAGCTTCTGACTACATGGCCTCTGTGCATTTTGAGACTCACATCCTCTTCAGAGTCTTTTATCCCGTCTTTGCTAAAGCCTCAAGAAATACAGTGTCTGCCTGACCCCAAAAGATGAGATTGCTGGGCTCCTCTCAGCTTTCACTTTGGGAAGAGCATAGCTCACTTCCTATGCACTGAAGTAAATGTTTTTCTTGCCTTCAACCAGTGATGCACATCATACAAAGGAACAGTGGACTTCACCACTGCAAGCATGTAAATTCCATTAGAGTTAATGGGAAACATCAATTTCAAAGATGCTCATTTAGACAGATTTTGTGCATGAAATAGAGGTAAGGTGAAATGTTGCAGGACAGCAATTTATTCATGGGGAAAAAATGGAGAGCTGATGATTGGCTGAAACCACTGACCATCACTGGCACTGGAATGGGAAAATGATCAAAATGTTTTCATTTTGTATTTCAAATTATAACCCAGCTCTAAGTAAAAGGTACTGAAAAGCCTTCAACACGACCACCAAGAAACAGACCTAAAACGAAAGGATTTTTACTTGTGCTAGCTAACAAATAACTCAATTACTCACCCAGCACTAACATGAGGGCAGAGAACTGGAGCGTTCCCTGACATTAGCACAGGGGAGATTTAGGTGGGTAATTCCATTAGCACTGTGGAAGTCCCTTCACATCAATCTTTGTGGCATTAATGAGGAAATGAGGCAGCAATAATAGAAGAAGTTTGGGAACAGTTCCTTGGCTCCATTTCTGGATCTCAAGCAAGCATATCTCAGGTTTCCCATCTCTGCCACAGCACAGCTTGTGCATTGCTAAGTCTTCACATTGGGCTCCAATGCAGTGTTTTAGAGGTCTCACAGTGGCCCTGGAAGCAGGGAAACATAAACCATAGCAAGTAACGAGAAACACAAGTGCTATATCCTTAGCATTCACAAATTTGGATGCCTTTAAAAGCTGTGCATTAAATGACATGGTAAAGGAAGAGAAAGAGTTAAGCCTTCAGGAGTGAGCAGATTTGCTCCCGCAGCAAACGCACAAAGCACTTGACTCTGTAACATCCTCACCAAGTAATTGTGTGAAGGCTCTCGGTGTCGCAGCTATTGTTTCATCTCCTTATCGGCACTGCACACTGCCTCGGGCTCTGAAGCTCTTCCCTGAGAGGGCTCCCCCCGGGACGTTCACACACATGCAGAGCCCCATTAAGATGAAAGCGCTCCTGGCCTCTGCCCATCTTCCTGCACTGTGTCTGCAGACTCGCACGATGTGCAGCAAAGGAACAGGTTTTGCTTTTAAGTTAGGAACGTAGCACTGCTGGTGGAAAAAAAGAGAAAGGGGAAAAAAGAACCCCTGGCTGCTATTCCAGTGGTGGCTCTTCCCAGGAAAGCCTGGTCTAGGTCTGCTAGACCTAGAGATAGGACCTGTCAGATAAATCACTTCATGTTTCCCAGCAGTTCCTGATGCTACATAATCACACCAAACTGGTTTATAAATGAAAATTCAAGTTACTCCAAATATTGGTCTTATTTAAAAACAAAAAGTAATCTCTCTCCAGCACCTAAAAGAAGGAAAATAGCAACTGCACTGGGGACAGGCACCCACCTTTCTGAAATTGCTGTGTGGCAAGGCCACAAGGATCACTGCTCATGGGAAGATGGGAGCTCACCATACTGGTCAGGAAAGTGCCTTCTCAGCCAGGGCTATTGGAGACAACCACAGAACCCTGCACAGGTTCCTCTTGATCGAAACCTGGACAGAATGTTTTCCTAATTCTAAAGGGAAAGAATTCACTTGAATTGTTGTGGTAGGTACAAAAGCTGTTGATTCTACAATGTCCTCTCTGGTTTTTTAAGGTACTGAAGGAGAAGACCAGCAAAAACTGTGTGTCTATTTTGTCATTTATTTTGGTTCTTGATGACTTTTCTTTCTGGCACACCAGTTCTCCTTGCTTCTGACTGTCAAAGTTTCAAATGAACTTCTGATTGAGCCTTTAAGTTAACCAAGGGTTCACCAACCCCTCAGTAACACATCACAAGGAGATGCATTGGCCACCTGGATCACAGATTCATGCATCGACACCACCAACATACCCTCACTTTGCTGCTAGGCTGTTACTTTAAAACTCTGATGCTCTTCTCAGTGTGAGATGCAAGAGCAGTCAACAAAGGAAAACCTCTCCCCTCTGACCAAATTAAAAACCCTTTCCTGCCAGTTAGGTATCAGTCCACATCCCAACCTGGCAGGCACAGCTTCTCCACATTGTACTAAGATCACTGCACTAAGCCAAGCAAAAAGTTGATATGATGCCTCCTTTTCTACTCAGCTGACTTTGGAGGGTGAAGACACGGCATGTATTACTATTTTTGTCTTCCCAATGCTATTTTTTCTTGGAAAGAAAAGCTTTTCAAGGGTCCCAGAAGATGCAACTGAAGCAGTCATGGTCCATTTTTCCCATTTCCCAGCCAGGCCTTTACACTCAAGGATTAACAAAGTCCTCATGGAGCAATTACATACCCTTTGCTTCACACAGGTAACATGCAATCACATACACTGTGGCTGCATCTGTCTTGGTCCCAGCTTGGTTAAAGACTTGGCTAAATCTGATTAGAGCAGTGCTGTGCCTCTCGGTAGATATCTAGGGCTCAGCTAAAGCAGCAGCAGTTGCAGCAACTTATACTACCTGAAAGCCTGCTCTCACAACGTATGTATTCCACCCTGGCTTTACAAACCGTTTTGCAACTGTGTTGGCAGCTCAGGAATTTAATTGCATGTCTCATGATATTGGGTGGTGGTTTTAATGAAAACTCCAGCTCCTGGGGAGCGCAGGAATCTCAGCTTTCATTTAAAACCAATTAAGTCTCCTAATTGCAGCAGCAACCCGAGAACACCCAGCAAGAAAGTCCTAAAGGATGCAATCTGAAGGTAAATAAAAAGACCCTGTTCCTTCCCTGTACAGTTTTTATTTAAGAGAATGCTCCCAGGATTTTCAAACAGATGACACAGGAGGCCTGACTCCTATGTACAAAGCTTCAATTCAGAAATACTAATATAGTACAATAGGCCTGCAGAAAGAGAAGATAACAATTGCTTTAAGCATTAGCAATGACTTATTTTTATACTAATAATAAGATAAAAGCACTTTCACCATAGCTTGGAAGAGGCAAACACATACATTGATAGCAGCCATTAGAAATAGGGTGACACAAGGCAGAATTACCAGTTGCATCCCTTTAATGTTTATTTATCACCAGGGTGTGAATTCAGCAGGGTTCAAGGATTACAGGGCAGCTCTGGAGTGTATCTGGAATAGAAGAAAAACACAGCTGAGGTTTTAAACAAAACTAGAGCATCATGAGTTATGTCGAGTTTAGCTCTGAAGATCAGTATCACAGCCTTGCCCAAACCTAGGGGCTGGAAAGGAATAAAGCCTGCAATATTTACAGTGTGATGGGAAAGGCTATGTCTGTTTTCACAAATCCAGCTGGCTTGCAGAGGAAGGGAATAAGGATAGCCAGAGCGTTCTAACTCATATTCTGACTGTAAATGATGATTCCTTCTTCTCACTATTGTCTGGTTATTAAATTCAAGTTGAAAAAAGCAGCTTTCCTTATGTTTACACACCCACACAGTTAATTGGAAGTAAAAAGTATGTCTGTTTATGGCCAGAAGTGCTACCCCTGTTTGGGAGAAACAGGTTATTGTGCAAAATTCATGTAATTGGTTTCCATAGCCCAAAGCAAATCAGCAACAATTTCTTATAGTGGAGGAGCAGATTTATACTGAAGTGTCCCTTGAAATTTCTCATTCAAAGGCTGAGGGTTCTAATGACTGCCTTCAAATTGCTATCAGTAAATGTCTACGCAAAAATGAAATTCAGTGTGCAATTTGGCAAACAGCTGTACGTTCACAGCCTTCAGCGACTAATCTAATCTGGGCTCTAATTTCTCTTTGTGTAGATTTGTAACAAGCACAGGCTTGAGTTTAATAAGGCCATTAGCACAAGTACATTTACTCAGGCCCATAAGCACTTGCAGAATGAGATCCTGTTTATAGTCGGCTGGCACTAGGCCAGCCCCATCCCTGACCAGTGATGTATAGGTGAAAAGGCTACTTGCCTTTTTGCCCCTTCCCAACAGGTTTCTTATTGACCCCCATGGCAAAAGCACACACTAGGCCTGAAAAACCAAACCATCTAAGGGCAGCCCTATCACAGACACAAACCTCAGGTCCTAGATAAGCCCGGTCCATGCCTGGATGGCTGCATCAGGGCAAAACAAGGACCTGCTCCCAACGCGTGGGAGGGTCTCCTTTTCCCAGAGCAACTAGTATTTATACTGATCCCTTTCCAATGGGATAGCAGTGCAGGAGTGAATTGCCTGCTATTTCGTTCCCCCTTCACCTGTGGATGAGCCTTCTGAATTCCAACTGAGGGACTGCCTCTGATTAAACTGAATCTATTGTGTGTGTTTATGAGACATTTTGACCGACAAACCATTTTCCCTGTCAGACACAGATACAACAGTGATGATAACTCAAATGTTTGGAGTCACATGGCTTTGGAAAGCTTTCCTGCCATTACACTCCATGAATGTCAACGGGTCTAGCTAAGTGCAGGCAAAGACTAATGGCAGCACTTTCTGCATCTCCTTTTCCCACCAGAGAAGTCTATGTAACATTGGCTGGCAGGTCTACCCCAGAGAAGAGTGCTGTTTTCAGTAATGAGTTTATCTTTGCTTCTCCCACTAAAAACAGGTTGCAAAAGATACCACTATGAGTTAAACACTTCACTGGTTTCTTTCTGAAATAAGAAATCTCCCTGAAATATTGAGGTGTATAAAAAGCTATATCTTTTCAGAGTAATAATATTACCATTAATATTCAGAACAAAACCATCAACCCCCCCCAAAAAACCTATTTTAGAAACACAATTCATTAAAGTAAATAAGTAAATACAAATCTTGACTTTAAGTCTGGTTTTCAACCTGTTGTTTTCGGGACAGGAGCCCCAGAATCCCTCTTTGTACCCTTGTGGGAAAGCCCAGGATCTTGTCACTACTGTCTCCTTTAGCCTGCACCATCCAGAGATCTGTACAGCTTTGACTTACACAAGCTAGAACTGGCTGGTTTTGCTGTGTGAACCCTTTTGTCCATCTTCAAATCGAGACAGAGTGGCACCTGTGCTTAGCACAAATCAACAGAACAGGTAAGGACTGCTCAGATACTGTATGTCAAACTATCATCCAGCTTTCCTGTTTTACAAGCGTGGCCATACTGCCTCTGTTCCTGGCTCCCCCTCTGTTTATTATTTCCTTCCCAGGAGGATATCAGGGGGAAAACATGAAAATGGGAAGGAGCAAAGGCACAGCACAGATCACATGTGTGGTTAGGGCTCCTGAACTGCTCTCCACGGAGGAGGAAGGAAGGGGGAGATAGTGAAAGAAAACCTGGGAAACAGCATGAGGCAGAATAACTGAATGGAAAAAAAAACCATAGCAGCTGGATTTGCTGGGTGAGAAAGCAATGAGGGAGCAGACTGAAAAACAGCCCCAAACAGCAGGTTCTGGAGGAATTTACTGGAAACTTGAGCAAACTAAATATCAGTGAGAAAACAGTGTCGGCAAAGCAACAGGGTAAACAGGCAGAGCTACAGTGAAATAACACAGATTATGCCCTATATTAAAAAAATCACAACGTTTTTGCTGAAGGAAAATAACAAAGACTGTTGAAAAGCAATTTCAGTTGAGCGCAATGCTCACTGAAACCACTGGAAGCTTTTGCATTGTCTTAAATAGCCAATATACCAGATCCTCAGCCCTTAAGCAACTAATTATGGGATGAACTAGTCATGCAGACAGCCATGGGATGCTCTTATGCTCTTTAGCAATGCAAAAATCATCCACAAAGTAGAATATAAGATGCATCATTCATGCCAATCACAGCATTTGTTCACATGATGAAAACTGGCCCAAACCTACATTGTAGTCAGGAAATTAAAAGTTGGAATCAATGCCCTTACAAACAATAAGATTTGCTGCAGGGAAGGAAAACATTAGAGAAATCCAGGCTCTCTTTGGCACTGTGGTGGTAGGGGGGCATTTCTCTTTTGTTATACCCCAGGTACATGTCTGTATAAAGCAGACATCTGATAGATGAGCTGCTTGGCAGCTGCTGGCAGGAAGATGAAGGACCAGCGCAGTGCTGTATTGGTGAAGGCTGGAAACACGCAGGAAGCACTGTTACTCTTCAGTAGCCATCCCTGCTTTGATTTAATTGTGTACAAGCAAAACCTTTCAGATGAGTAACCTTCCTCAGATACCTTCTGTGTAAGGTGACCAGGAGTTTTCCCTCACCCCATCATAGCACCTATCCTTATCTGCACCAAGAAAGGCCTAAGACAAACAGAAGGCTTTGCTAAACTATAAGTTTTTGCAAAGGAAGAAACGAGAGTTGGGTAAGAGAGAAAACGTAACAAAAGCTTGTGGGTCAAGATAAGGACAGAGAGACAGAGTGACATCACTGTCACGGGCAAAACAGACTTGATTTGGGGAAATTAGTTTAATTTATTACCAATCAAATCAGATAAGGGAAATGAGAAAATAAACCCCAAATCTTAAAATACCTTTTCCCCTCACCCTTCTTCCCAGGCTTAACTTTACACCTGATTTTAGGTACCTCCTCTTCCTCAGCAGTGCAGGGAGATGGCAAATGGGGGTTGAGGTGAGTTCATCACACACTGTCTCTGCTGCTCCTTCCTCCTCAGGGGAGGGCTCCTCACACTCTTCTCCAGCGTGGTGTCCCTCCCACAGGAGACAGTCCTCCATGGACTTCTCCAATGTGAGTCCTTCCCATGGGTTGCAGGTGGAGATCTGCTCCACCATGGACCTCCATGGGCTGCAGATGGAGATCTGCTCCAACGTGGACCTCCATGGGCTGCAGATGGAGATCTGCTCCACCGTGGACCTCCATGAGCTGCAGATGGAGATCTGCTCCAACGGGGACCTCCATGGGCTGCAGGTGGAGATCTGCTCCACTGTGGACCTCCATGGGCTGCAGGGGCACAGCTGCCTCACTAAGGGCTGCTCCACAGGCTGAGGGGAATCTCTGCTCCAGCGCCTGGAGCACCTCCTCCCTCCTCCTTCACTGACCTTGGTGTCCGCAGAGCTGTTCCTCTCACATATTCTCACTCCTCTCTAGCTGCAGTTGCACAGGGGTGTTTTCCCCTTCTTCAATATGTTATCCCAGAGGCACCACCATCACTGATGAGCTCCAAGGTCTGCCTTGGAGCCAGCTGGCATTGGCTGTATTGGACATGGGGGAAGCTTCTAGCAGCTTCTCACAGAAGCCACTCCTGTAGCCCCCCTGCTACAAAACCTTGCCATACAAACCCAATACAGGGATCATGACCTCAATCAGCCAGAAGGGATCCATCTGGCCACACTGCTCACCTCCTCTCAGTGCCATACACCTCACTGCCTGCTCTTGAGAGAGCTTTGGGGGTACATGATACCCCCAGTACAAAAAGTAGAATTAGAAATCAGATCCCAGGTTGAATGTTTTCTATCACTGCTGTTATAGTCTTATTTATAAAAGAGTTTAAAAACCCTTTGCCTTTAGATTTCACAAACAAATGCATTTGCAATGACACAATAAGAGAAACGCTCAAGTGCTTCCAGAACCAGAGAAATTGATAGACTTTTTCATGGTCTGTGGGACCTTCGCCCTCATTAAGGTCAAGCCAAATTACCTTACGAATAATTCAGCTACAACCCACAGCTCCCTGATTCTGAACTGATAGATTATGCAGCCATTAATCAGCTCAAGGTCTGCTTCTGCTTTTGACATTCAGAAGGTAACCTTACTCCATGCTGGTCCTTTTATTGAGTTCCTCAGACACATTCATACTCAGAAAAATAAATCTCATTCCCTGCTAAGCACTGATGATTCCTCATGTTTCGTGAAAGACAGAACTCACCCTTTAATAAATTTGTTTGTAATGCACCAATTTCATTTTGCCTGCTCCCAAGGAAGCTGATTTTCTATTTGATGGGCTAGAAGACTCAAGATGTTATATATCACTGTATGTCTGAGCCTGTAGTTAGTTGTAGAGCCATAGATCTGGGAGACAGTATCTGATTTTCAGTTAATTTCCTGCAAAGTCTGAAAACTTTGTCCTGGGTGATTGCTGACAAAGATACAACAACAATAAAATAACCCGAGATGGCCAAACCCCATTTAATAGTTTCCATAAAGATCATTTTTATCAGAGCTCTGCAGGACTTCATTCACTGGT